GAAATATTACTCACAGTAAATAAAAAAAAAGAAAATCACAAAATCTTTAACGAAACAAAAAAAAATCCGTTGATATCTCTTTATCATAAATCCTATTTTGATTTTTTTTAAGGTCAAATGCAATGAGTAGTTGTTGTTTTTTTGAAATTTACTCTGACTAATGATCTACAGAAAAAAATCTCCAGCTGTTGCTTTGGTCTAAAATGTCTAGAAAAGAAACCCCCTCATTAAAGAACAGCAGAACACAGTTGTAAATGAGTCATATAATTAACATTGTAACCAATTCAAATGTTAGAATAGCCATTAAAAAAAATCGAAGTATTAAGAATTTCTTTTCCTTTTCTATTCAATTACTCATCGAACTACTCTAGAAGAATATAAATTCAGACAAAAGAGAAAAAAAACAGAACAGAAACGAAAAAAAAAGTCAACATTATTCATCAATATCCAACTTGAGATAAACGATGTTAGTAATGATGCATGGAATATTACTCATAATGCGGGGTTAAAAACAAGAATTAATAAAAAAAAATGCCATTTTCAACCTTGAAGGAAGAGAGAAAATAATACACTGGCATTCTCATCATTGTCGTTCTGAATTACTTGTTCTTTAATGACTAACATTTCATGGCAGTAAATAATGAAGATTTAATAAATATCAATTTTGATCATGATTGGAAATGCTATTGTCAACAATCAAACGATAAAACTGATGGAAAAACAATTATTTCAAATGCACATAATATTAATACAGATCAACGTTGGTCTTCCATAGAATTACCACATATTAGTAATACTATTAACAATGATAAACGACCATATAAATGGTGGTATTGTAAAAAATTTGATTGGACATCAATAAATCAAACAACAAAACAACATGTCTATCTTAATTTTGAACCATTAAATAATCATGATAAAAATTTCAATATTAATGGTATTATATGGTTTAATGGTATACAAATCTTTTCAGGTTCATTGATGCCATTAAAAGATCTAATTGAATTACCTTCAAAATTATTACATAATGAAAATAAGAATGATAATATATTAATTATTTGTTGTACAAATACAAAACTTTCACTTTATACTTCACTTCTTATCTATGGTAAAGTTATTTATGCTGTTGGACAAGTAATAATGGATGAAAATAATCTTAATAAATATAAAGATATCGATAAAAAATCAAATAATATTCTTGATTATAAAGTTAGTATTGATAATGATGATGGACGTATTGATGTTATATTCAATCCAAAACGAAAATCCAAAACTTTACCAATACCATCATCACCATTACAGCATTCATCTCAATCTATTATTCAAGACAAACAAATCAATGAAAGTAAAGAAAATATCGATGATGATCTTCTTGTACCTCGTCTAGCTATTGTAATACTTATTGTTGGTACAAGAGGTGATGTACAACCATTTATTGCGTAAGTTAAATGAATTTTTTTTCTTTTTTTTTTTTTTGAAAATTCGATTTTTTTTTCTGTCTTTAGACTTGGTCAAGCACTTCGTGCAATTGGTCATCGTGTTCGATTAGCAACACATGAAACATTTCGATCATTTGTTCGTGGTAATGGTCTAGAATTTTATCCATTAGCTGGTGATCCAGCTGATTTAATGTCGTTTATGGTAAAAAATGCTGGAATAATTCCATCATTAAGTAGTATTATCGAAGGTGATGTTGGAAGAAAACGTCGTTCTCTTGCCAATATTCTTGCTTCTACATGGCAAGCATGTATAGCTGATGATGATGAAACAAATGCACCATTTATAGCTGAAGCAATTATTGCAAATCCACCATCATTTGGTCATATTCATTGTGCAGAAAAATTACAAATACCATTACATATTATGTTTACAATGCCTTGGTCACCAACAATTGCTTTTCCACATCCATTATCGAATATTGAAAGTTCAATTGGACCAAAATATAAAATTAATTTATATTCATATGATGTAATTGAAATACTAGTAAGTTAAGAAAAACGATAAATAGTTTTTTTTTTTTTTTTTTGTTTTAATTTCTTGATTTTATTCTATAGACATGGACAGGTATGCGTGATATTGTGAATGATTTTCGTAAGAAAATATTAGGTCTTGGAGAATTACATACACGTCAAGCAATAAATGCATTAATTGATGAATGTGTACCACATTCTTATTGTTGGTCACCCTCACTTGTTGCAAAACCTAATGATTGGGGAACACATATTGATGTTTCAGGTTTTTTCTTTCTCAATCTTGGTACTACTTATACTAATCCACCGAAAGATTTACTTGAATTTCTTGGTATTAATAATAATGGCGATTATATTGATCGTAAATTACTATCACCAATCTATATTGGTTTTGGTTCTATAACAGGTCATGATTCACGTCGTATTCTTCAAATTGTTATTGATGCTCTTAATAAAACTGGATATCGAGCTCTATTATCTGGTCTTGCTACAGATACAGATCAATTATCTTCTAATATATTTAAAATTGGTAATGTACCACATGATTGGCTTTTTCAATACGGTAAGTATAATTTTTCCATCATGATTAGATATATTAACAATATTGTATTAATTTTATATAGTATCAGCTGTATGTCATCATGGTGGAGCAGGTACAACAGCAGCTGGTCTACGAGCTGGTAAACCAACAATTATTGTACCATTTTTTGGTGATCAATTTTTTTGGGGTAATGTAATTGAAAAAAGTGGTGCTGGTCCATGTCCACTTCCTGGAAAATCGATTACTACTAAAAAATTAGTTGAAGCTTTTCATTTTGTTCATAAATCAACAACACGTGCTGCTGCTGAACGTATTCGTGATGCTATTTTAAAAGAAGATGGATGTACAGCAGCAGTTCAGGCATTTCATGCTAATTTACCATTAACACGTATGCATAGTGATTTAGAACCAACATTTGGTGCTTGTTATCATTTGGATAAATATAATATACAAATATCACGTCCTGTTGCTCAAGTACTTGTAGCAGCAGGTGTTATAGAAGAATCTGAACTTTCTCATCATGTTACACGAGAATGGCAATTTATGCATGATAATCGTATACATTTACTTACTCAGGGTATTATTGAACATTCACAAAAAGCTTTTTCAAGTATGTTTATTGATACTGCTGAAGATTTAAAACGTGCTGTCAAGAATAATAATGATAGTGCAGCTATTCGAACACTTGAAGGTGCTGGAAGTGTTGCTAAAGGTGTTGGTTTAGGTATTGGCCATTTAACAATTGGATGTTTATCATTATATGGTGAAATGACCGATACACTCGATCGTGTTACTTCACTTTATGATCCATATAGGTTAGATATTCTTTTTAATGAGTTTTATATTTCAACGAAATAATATAAAATTCATTGTAGTAGTCCCAAAGTACGTCAACGACCACGCGTTACTGATTTCAAATCGGGTGCTAAAGCTGCTCGTCTTTCTTTATGGAATGGCTGGAAAGATGGTGTTACAGGTATTGTAAAACAACCACGTGCTGGCTATGAACGTCATGGAGTATTAGGTGGTGCAGCTGGATCATTAATAGCTACAGTTAATATGGCTATGAAACCTACGGTAGGCACTCTCTCATCCATTACTTGGCTAAGCCGTGGTACTTATGCCAGTGTGAGAAAGACAGTAGAAACCTATGGAAATGAAGGAAGACGTATTTCAACAAAACTATTTGATACAACATCATCGATGACTTATAATGGACAATTTCAAGAAGATGAAGATGAAGAAATCTCAACAGCCGTTAAAACGGCATCAACTAGATCGGGTTTTCCTCCAAGAGTATGTCAACATATTATTCGCGAATTTGAAAAAATTAAATTAGAACAAGAACAAAAAATAGCTGTATCATTAAAGAAAAAGCGAAGTATAAGCAATTTCTTTTCCAATAGAAGCTAAACATTTCATGTCTGTTTACAAAAAGACATCCAAATTCGTAATAATGGATCAATGACAATGTAATTACAATCTATTTACTACGTATTTACAATTGTTTCTGCATTATTTTAATCGCATTTTCTTTTATCTGAAAAAAAGTCTTGGTTTTTGGAATGATAAGATAATTTAGTGTTGTAAATAAATCTAATATTGAATGACTAAATGTCATTAACGATCAAAAATCAAATACTTTTTATATAATTTAATATGCAATTTAACTACTACTTTTCAAATTTTATTCATTGTCTTTCTTCAAAAATTTGCTAAGAATGGACGAATATATTTCTGACATTATAATATTCCTATATTTTCATATTCAAAATTTTGAATTCAATTTCATATATGAGTTGTATAATTCTTTACAATCAATGAAATATTGTCGAGTAATTAATATATCGATTTATTTGGAAAGATCAACTTGTTTTTAAACACTAGTAATAATAATTATCTGAATGATAATCATCACGACGATGACAATACTAAAAAATACATATACCCTTTTTAGAAGCTTTCCTTGTTGTTCTCTTTCTTAAATCAAATGACTTGTAGATAGTTGTATGAGTAAGAAGAGAAAGTTGAGAGGACGTACCCAATCTTGCTACAAGTTGCACCATCAGATCAAAGTAATTTATTTGTTCTCATCTATCGTGTTTTGTATGTTATAATTTCGATGGAGTGCAGGTAGTTAATCTGGTATAAAAATGGATGCAGCCACTTATAATTGATTACATACAGAATGATAATCATATAAACTTCATTATCACTAGCGTTACAAATACCATCACTTTCAAACAAAATACAGCCGTCTAAGATATCATGACTAAATTCGTATCATTTTAATAGTTTCTGAATTCGACCCATTCCTAACAGGATCCTGATTTATCTTTCAATCAAGATCAATAAGGATAACAAAACAAGTTTAGGTCATATAATACGCGTATCTTGTAAGATGATTATCCTTAATTCAAATTCATAAGCTATTCTAAAATAAAAATATCGATCTAATCGTTAATAAAAAGTTGATCGACTGATTCGAAGCATATAAGAGAGGAGAGCTCGACAAAATAAAACTAGTCATGAAATCCAATCGTACGGTAAAAACTTCTTTGACACAGAATTAAACGCTATCGCGTTGTGCTTGTTATGTTCTTTTCTTCTTTGTTATTTACATATGTAATTTAGTCTTTCAACATTTAGAGAAAAACAATGGAAAAAAATTAGTTGGGACAAAGCAAGCAGAGGCCAGTTAAGGGGGAGGGAGCGTACTGCACGTCTACATTCTGAACGTCTCGATCATGACTGTAATCCATCGTTGTACATACACATTTCATATAATACATTAGACGTGCTATATCATTGTTGAGTACATGAGCTTTGATCTATGTGCATTTGGATTCAATCATTGTCTCTTAAACGAACGTAGTTATCGCTTTTCTGATAAAAAAAAACAAACTTTAAAATAATTATTTTATAAATTATAACGGGTCTGTTTTTACTGTTACATGCTATTTAGGTGCCTATCACTTTGATATAACCTCTAAGGTTTTTTCCAACTTGCTTTTTTTTTATCTACTAAATATAAGAAAAGTTCTGTTCAATCTTGCTGTATCTTTTACATACCACTGATTCTTATCAAATACATGTCCTTTTTCTTTATTTAAGTATTTGATGCATCTAACGATTGGTTAGACTTTATTATTTTAATTCATCACTATGGCATAAACCATTTTCGTAGTAAGATATACATATAACAAAAGTGTTTTAATAATTTATTTTACAAGAACAATTCTGACTTGACTGATACAGATAGGAATGAATAATGAAAAAACAAATCATTCTTTTTTAATAAATCTGCATGATAATACATTAAAACGGCTCTTCTTGGATTGAAGTTTATGTGATAATTGTTCAAAATATTTACTGTCTTCATGTAAATAGTTAATGAGTAATCGAGAAGATAGCCACATAGTGATTTAAGAGCTTCTCCAAGCCAGGAACTAGTTTGAAGTAGAGAATGTGAGATTGAAGCTGAGAATATTCTACTATATCGTGATTTCGCTATGTGATGTGTTGTATAATGCTACGAATTTCTAGAAATTCAAAATCTTCATTATGTCACAAAAAACGAGTCAGTTTGGTTGCCCAAATCAACTTTTACTTAGTAAGATGAAGATGATATGTGATGGGAAAAAAAGACACAAAAGGTAACAAGAGGATGGAAGTGTTTTAAAGTGTAATACGATGCTTTTTAATAGGAACAACTGCTTCTAATGTATCATCTGTTGTTATCATCGATTCTGGATTGTAGGTATCTCTCTTTAAAGTTTTTTGTTCTTTTTTCTTCAATTACAATAAGTATGTTACATAAAAACTAAAGTATCCAAACTATGGCGAAATTAAAATAAACGACAATAAAACATCTATTCTGTCTCTACTGGCAATTCGATGGCCCAAGTTTCATAGGCACGAAAATGAAGCCAATCTGATTTGTTATTCACTTGATTATCATCATAATTACTTATCAATAATCGACCATTTTTCTTGAATCGCTCATTTAATGAACTATCATCGATTGTCACCGATTGTTGACTAAAATTGCAGGCAACAATAATTTCTTGAATACCCTCATTGAAACGTTTATACATGAAGATATGCATATGTTCTTCATGAAGAACATCATAATTTCCATAAACCATAATTGACATTTCTTTTCGTAATTGAATCAATTTTTGATAGTAATAAAAAATCGAACTAGAATCATTTAGAGCATCTTCAACATTGATATCTGTATAATTTGAATTGACGTTAATCCAAGGTTTGACATCAGCGACACCATTAGTAAAACCACCATGAATCAATGAACCTGACCATTGCATTGGCGTACGAGTATTATCACGTGATTTTCTATAGATTACTGCCATGATTTCTTCCAATGATACACCAGATTGTATAGCATCACGATGAAAATTCGTTGTTTCAATGTCACGATAGTCGGCCAATAATGGAAAACGAACATTGGTCATGCCTTGATAAAGAGAAAAAGAACAAACGAAGAATATCAATTTGACTAATCAAACGTTACTCTTAATAGATCTCTCATTGATAATTTTGCACAATGATGGAAAAAAAAATCGAGATTACGTTACAAAAAAAGAAATTAAATTCTATCCATACATTTTTTTTGTATGAAATCATCAATACTTGTATTCTCTTGTTGTCGTCTGTGTTTTCATTCGTTCGATAAAAGCATCCGACATCTCGACTGGATTTTATTTGTAAAAAACAAAAACCACAACGAGTGACCCTATTTTTATTTCATATTTCTGCTGGATTGGTGAAAGTTAAGCACGGGAAAAATCAGCGCGGAGAGATCAGCACGGAATAATCAGCACGTAAAAGTTCAGCACAAGGACTGATAAGCACAAGATCAATTCAGCACGGGAAGAATAAGCACAAATATTAAGTACATTCATTGGATATTCTGTTTCTAAGTTTATTTAAGAGAAATATTGATTAGAATATTACAAAGAAATATTGTAAGCAATTGAATCAATTTGAACCAAAACATCTCGATGAGGATTCGCTAGAAGATTCAACAGCCGTCTTTCAAATCGTTCATTTATTTTTTTCTTTTTTGGTGGTTGACCAGCACAGATCTGTAAAATATCCGCATGAGTTGCAGTTTCTTCATCGATTAATTTTTGAAGAAAAACCCATAGCGTTGGATGAGCACATTGAAATACTGAGCCAATTCTTCGATGATAAGCTTCGGCAGAATTATTCGTTCTCATTAAGGATTGAGTTGTTCTTTCGTGCATGTTCCAGAAATTAATTTCAAACAGAGGTTTTCTTCGCGTTTGATTTGATCGAAGTCTTCCTAAAAAATGATATCATAAAGACTTTTTGTCATTGAAGAAAAGCATTAATTACCAATATACGTTCCTTCGAAGTAGTCCATTATTTCATCATAATTATGACCGAGTTCCATTGATAAACGTTCGAATCCATTGACGACAGAATTTGGTTCCAAAAATGTCAAAGCAGCTATCTTGTGAATGTTATGTGCAAAGATCGGATCTGTCTGGTATTGATTTTGATGTCCCAATTCCTAAACCGATAAGAACATAAAATTAATACTCTCGATTATCGAGTTATCATGAGCTTGTTACTACCTTAAGTTTTCGATGAATACTCTGTCTTAAATGAAAATAACATCCGGATAATGATACATTAGGAAACGCTGCTTGGAAAGCACCAAACGAAGCTTGTTCAAAGTCGAGCATAATAGCACGTGGAGACCAACGAGGAGCAATGTTGAGTATTTCACGGATAAGATGTTGATATGTTTCATTAGTTTTTCGACGTAATAAAGCGTAAATCAATGGAATTGCATGATCACGAAATATACCATGGATGATATATAACTGATAAAATATGTCAGGAACGACTTTAAATGTTCCGTCCACGAGAAATTCTTCCGTATCTTGTAAAACATCTACTTGTTCATCACTTGCGAATATCAGGATCCGATCCTCCCCTTAATCCAGAGAGATAGATTTGTAAATAAATGATCTAGTATGGAGTACTACACGACATACCTGGTCCTGTATCACAGCGAAGAAACTGATCTTTACGTGCAGTTTTGGTCAATTGAATAGGAACAGAAGAAAAGTTTGGATCATTTGGTTCTTTCACCACTTGATTATTATGTCGCAACATTCTAATTCGTCGTTTAATATTATCACGTACTGGTAAACGAGCAATCGATGGGTCGGACATGCCTATCGATGATAAAATAAAATCTAATGGAAAAGAAAACTGATTTATTTTTACCTCTATAACAATTTGTGATGATGATGTCAGGTGTTTCTTGAGTATTGACAGCCCGATGAGCAATATGTTGATTGAAGATTCTGAGTTCAAGTGTTGTACCATCGACTTTACATGTGTGTTCACTTGGTGGTTTCACAATAGCATTAGTGGAAACACAGGTATGAAGACGAGAGTGACAACGATCTGAGAAGTATTTAATGCATCGCCAATAGGTTTTTTCACTTGTAGATCGATCGATGATGTAAGAATATCCATCATGATCGAGACGTGACTTGTTTTTCGTTGTACCGTTACTCGAAATTGTTGTCATATTGGAACAATGAGAATATAATGAAAGAGTTGTCTTTCGTAACATTATTATAGTTGTGAGAATTAATTGGCTCATCTTTACTGTGTTATAACTTAATCTAATCCAATTTCACTCTACTGTTTTCTTGATAATCATAAACAGATATTATCCATTCTATTTAACGCAATCTTTGTGCTGATTAATCAATGTGCTTATTTTTTTTTTTTTTTTTTTTTTATTTTTATTTTTTTTTAACTGATGGTCCTAGGACCCTAACAGTACAATTAATAAAAAGAAGAGAACAATAATTGAGAGAGGGAAAGAGAGATCACATGAAGAACAGGAACACAGACGAGAAGAAGAACTACAACAAAAAATGAAAGACAAACATAAAAACGAGTGTCAGATCAATGTGCTTATTCTTCCCGTGCTGAATTGATCTTGTGCTTATCAATCATTGTGCTGAACTTTTACGTGCTGATTATTCCGTGCTGATCTCTCCGTGCTGATTTTTTCCGTGCTTAAGATGCCGGTTCCCATTTCTGCTATTTCCTTTCTCGTTTACTTTGCATGAAAGAACTTCAAATGTTTTTCTGCTGTTAGGTACCGCCTATTGTTTCTTTCTTCGTCGACTCAAAAAAAAAAGTTGTCCCTTTCTTTTCAAGCGTCATTTTTCGTTTCATGACGTACCGATCTCTTCGCCTTGATAAACATAAGGTGTTCCAGAAAGAAAATGTAAACAAGTGCCGAGCATCTTAGCAGAAAGAACTCGATATTGACTGGAATCATTGCCCCATCGTGAAACGATGCGTGGTTGATCATGATTATTCCAATAGAGACTATTCCAACCTTTACCAATAAGACCTTTTTGCCATGTCGTAAAATGAAGTTTCAATTCGCGTAAATCAAGTAATTTTGGTATCCATTTGCCTTCATGATTTCCAGAATGAACAACTGATGCAAAAGTTTGACGTCTACCACCATCAATATTCATATGTTCGAATGTAAAAATCATATCGAGTTCTTTCCGAGCTGGATTTGTTATCAATTCTGCTTCGTGTAGATGAGCTCCTATGAAGTAAGAAATTTTATTTTATGTTATTTTCGATGCTTTTTTTTTATTCTCACCAGGACATTCACCGACTGTTACAATATTGTAATGACGCAAAACTTGTTCATACATTTCTTGCAAATATTCATGTAAACGTGGTCCATTGATGTAGTACGGTGTCCCATCGGAATATTGTCTGCCATCATCGACATGACCTTCGGGATATCCTGGTACTTTAGAAATAAAATTAATCACATCCATACGAAATCCGTCTACACCTGAAGTACGAATATCATAAAAAAAACAGAATATCCTTCAAAAAAAAACTGACCTTTATCCAACCACCAACGCATTATTTTATAGACTTCTTGACGAACAATCGGATTTTCCCAATTTAAATCGGGTTGTTTCGATGTAAATGTATGAAGATAATATTCACCAGTAATGATATCATAAGTCTAGATAAATGAGTAGAATTGATTCTACAACAACATTTATTTTTTTACCCAAGTCGGACCACCGAAAGCAGCTCCCCATCGATTTGGTACTTTGCCATCTTTACCCGGTGCCCAATGATAAAAATTTCGATACGGATTATCTTTGCTTTTTTTCGATTCGATAAACCATGGATGTTCATCACTAGTATGATTAACAACAAGATCCATGATTAATTTCAATTGACGTCGTTTCATTTCTTCTAACATTCGATCAAAATCTTCCATTGTTCCAAATTCGGTCATTATTTGAAAATAATCACGAATATCATAACCATTATCATAATTCGGTGAATCGTAAATGGGACTAAACGTGAAAGAGATCGATCGATAAAATACAAAAACGAAAATTTACTCGAACCTAAGCCAAAGAATATCCACGCCTAACTTTTTCAAATAGTCCAATTTCATAGTGATTCCATTAAGATCACCGATCCCATCACCATTCGAATCGAAAAATGAACGTGGATAGATTTGATAGACAACCGAATGATGCCACCAGTTTTTATTCGGTGCAAAATTGTCTGTGGCCATGAATTTGCCTTGAGATAAAAAGAAACAACAAGACAGTGTGCCGAGAGATCTCGTTGACTCTTTTTTTTCTTATCAACTCATTCAATTACTGGTAAGCGTTGTTTATTTCGAAAAGAACATGTGTTTTGATTAGAATGTTTACTTTCCAAACATATATTCATCTTAGCATTAATCAAATTTCTTCAGCTGATTACAGTTGACTTTTTTTTGAGCTGTGGCATCTCTCCTCTATGCATGTTGCAAACTTGTTACTTTTTCTTTGAAGCTACCCATGCAACCTGAATGTTATTGGTACGCACATGTCACGCTTTGTACGCTTGGTACGCATATCTCAACATGTACGTGTGTGTACAACCCGTGTTCGTTTGTACGGCATGCTTTCGTCTAGCAACTTTTCATTGAACAGGCTAGTAGTTCAACAACGGTTGGACAGACAAAAGCTATTGTTTGAATATTACTTAGCCCTTTTTCGCATATAATCTATGTTTTATGTAATTTTTACATAAATAAAATTATGTTTTTATTAATTTTTTTCAAAATTGTCTTTACAGATGTTGTACAGATTACATTACACACAAATTTAAGAAAAAATGATCAATAATTTTTAACACTAATTTTCGTTTTTTGTGATGAAAACAAACAATCATAAGTTAAAAAATTATTTTTAATATTTGCGTTTAATTTCTTTTATATTAATATATAAAAATTAAAAAACTTGAATGTAAATATTTTAAAAACAAAATATTAATTTATAAAGATTGTAAAAATTGAATATAAATTCTAAAAAAATATTGAAAAAAATACAATTCTTTCTCTTTATATTTTTATGGGACAATGTTTAATTTTTCTCATTTGACCATATGAAAAATTTAAAAAAATATCATATGTAAGTATAAAAGATTATTTAAAAAACATTAAATATTGTCACATGAAAATTCAAAGAGAAAGAATATATTTTTTTAGAATTTATATTCAATTTTTACAATTTTTATATCTTAATATAAAAGAAAATAAATGGAAATATTAAAAAGACAAAATTTTTTATATGAAATTCATGAAAAATAAAGTATTAATCTTAATATTAAAATTCTTTTAAATTTATAATTGTTTGTTTTTACATTTTTATATTTTTATACTTATTTTATTTTTCATATGTACATTTTATTTTGTACATATTCTTCTATTTAAAAAATTCTTTTTACTTCTTATTTCTATTCTTTTATATATATTTTCCACTTTTTTTGGGATATTTTTTAAAGATTTTTTTTGGGCTACTATATCTCTTAGGATTTTTTCTTTTACTAATCTTATTATATTTATTATTATTTTTATTACTTATTATTTTATTATTTTTTTTTTGTTTTTATCACACACTATTTTATAACTTTTATTTTTTGACGTTTTTCAATTTATTGACGGTCAGAAGATATACGAGTCATCATCTGTAAATGTTGATTTATATATCTTACTAGCCGCTTTAAATTGAAAACAAATCGAAATAAAATAAAAATTATAAAATAGTGAGTAATAAAAATTAAAAATTAATAAAATTAAAAAAAATAATAATAAAAACACTAGGAGTAATAAAATAATAAATCATAAGTAATATAGCAGCAGTGGATTTTATTGGCATATTTAATTTTTTTTTGTATAGTTCTTTCGTCTCAATTTAATGATTTTCAATTGTTACTGAGGCTTGTATTTATCTGTATTTTTTTGTGAAATTTAGCGTAGAATTTTATTTAAATAAAATTAAAAACAAATGATCTGTGGCCTGGTGAATCGAAATCCAAATGCACTTTGCCATACACACACCTTTGATTGAATAAATTTTTTACAGAAAGTCCGTTGAATTTTTCTTTTTATTAATCTGAAAATTGTTTTAGGTGAAACGTAACTTCTTCTGAGAAAAATGCGGAATTCGAGAAAGCTGTGGCATCTTGCATTTTAATCAGAAACAGTTGATTTTCACCCAAAATGATTTTCAGATTAATAAAAAGAAAAATTCAACGAACTTTTTGTAAAAACTTTATTCAATCAAAGTTGTGTGTATGTTAAAGTGCATTTTGACTTCGATTCACCAGACCATGAATCAAAAAATTAAATAATAATTCTACATAATTCATTTGACCGGATCAGTCGTGATTAAGGGCTTGTCTTCACTAGAAAATTTAATATTGAATTAAGAAACATGATTGGTCGAAAAGTCAATACACATTTAATACAGTTTTGAAAAGCGTATTAAGTTAATACACTTTTCAAAATCGTATTAAAGTTAATGTATCAATCAACTTTAAATTCGATTTCTGTGATCGAATTGAACTAAACAAAGCGACAAATCATTCTGGATTCTGATTGATGCATTATTAATTTTTAAGTGAAGACGCACATTATTTTAATACGAAGTTAATACCGTATTATTTTTCTAGTGTAGACAAGGTCTAATCAAGTTTCGGAATAAACCAATGAGAAAATTACTAAAGTGCATTAATGCAGTTTCTCGTACGCGTTAGATACAAGTATCCGACACACTCGGTACGCGCATATCCCGTGACATTTGTGCGCGTACAAAGCGTACCAGTAGCGTTCGCGCTGACATGGCTCGGAAGTCAAATTTTCTCTCTGTATTGGCGTCATTGAGGGAATATTATGTTGGATAGCTGAGAAGAAATAAAAGAATTGTCTTTGATTTTGTTTTTCAATTATGTATCTAACATAGATGCATCTATTTTTTCATAAAATGCATTGTGATGCTTTTTCATAAATCATCTTGAAACAGATAGCTAAAAATACCTTATATAAGCGTTTTCATCTTAGTTAATTATTTAGAATACTTTTTATAGTAGACGAGAAGAAAAAATGGTTTCTAAAGAGACATCACTTTTTTTCATGACTCTCAAATTTTTTACTCACGATCTTCAAACATGGATTAGTTGAAAATTGCATACTAACCATTACTACATAGTCATGGTTGACAACCATACAAATTTTTATCTCAATTTATTATTAGGAAGTCGAAATCGGTTGTTTATGTAGGAGAAAGCCCTTATGTTCGATCAGAGGCTTTTTTCCAAAATAGCTATAATTGACAACTAGCCCAAAGAAACATCATTTATTATGCTCGCTGTCATGTTTCTAATGAGCATCTAGGTGTGGATGAGCGTGAACAGGAGAACCATACGTTTTCGTTGAATTTCATGATAGTTAGAAAGTCTGAATGTTTAAGTTATACGTATATATATATATATAAATACATCTAGAATCTCTTGAATTGTCGATTTCTAGATCATGGATGGTATTGTAATTCAAAATAGAACAAACATGCTGTTGCCCAAACTATGGAAGTGAGAAACATGCTAGTATCCTGATTAGCTTCAACAATGCTGTTTATTGTTTATATCGTAGTAAAGAAAATCTTTCCTACTATCATATTTGTTCATAAGAATCATGTATTAACTAATCAGATTTTAGGGAAGTTTTTCTTTACTATAGTTTGTGCAAAGTATGGTGCTATTCGAGACAATCAGAAGTTTAGCAGGGAATCTCTCTTGAATGACTTTGACAATAGCAAGTTTACTTCGTGTTGAAGCAGAGAAAATTCATACTGGAAACCGATTAGTTGGAGAAAAAAACGTGGAAACACAGATTCTTTCATGTCATCAAACTTTATAAAGTAAGGCTCTTTTTGAGAAACGAATCTTTCTCTAATCAGATTCTCGAGATCGAAAATCTCAAATACACTTAGGACTAAGACCTTCTTATTTGGATTTCAATTCGGATTGAGTCCTTACGTTTAGATTTGCTTTTGGACCAGATTCACATAAATAGTGTGCAATCTGATAACTACTATCAAATCTCAAGCTGTTTATATTAATTTTACCCAAGAGCAACCCCAAAACTCAAATATCAAGGCTTTGATTTCACATTCCAAAGTCTTTTTCTGGATGTGCCACACACCTAATAAAGTAAGGCGTTGTTGATGAGATCTTGTCTTATACCAAATCCGTGCTAAACCTCAATACTAAATATCAAATTCAAACTCAAATAATTACAAGCCATAGAATATCAAATTTCAAAGCATTGAATTTTTTTTGCACCCTTAACAATTTCTTTATTTTTCAAAAATAAGTTTTTCTTGATGAGCTCATAAATATTCCGTTACACTTTACTTAATAATTGGTAACGCCTCCGTTACTGGTTGTTTATTAACGCAACAGTAACTTTTTTCTCCTATAGCAAAAGAAAAAATTCAGATAAATTAAAAAAAATTGTGTATGTTCTCCCAAAAGAAAAGTCAAAAAAAAAACGTAATTCTCGAGTAAGATGCACTTCAAAAGGTGTGTCAAAAACATAAAAACATGATTATAGATAAACTAGATGTTTCTCTGCAGATAAATTGATTTAAATAAATTGAATGTCAAATACAAACTTAAACACATCTTTTTTTTTCAGCATGTTGATCTATCAAGATGAGAAATCCTACATAATACAATATTTTCATTGTGACCAACCAAACCTTAAAATTCTTTCTAGTATTTTTTCTATCTTATGTTATAATGATCGTCTCTTACTCCACCATTAGCAAGTTAAAGATCAACCGAGATAAAAATTCTATTGTCGATAATCACTGTTGAAAATGGGACTTTTCGAGTAGAGAATCAAATTGTGCAGCTAGTACATCTGACTAAAAAGGCGCAACATAAATTTTAGTGCGAATTCAGATAAAAAAACGACCGAATGCAGTGCTAACTTGACATACGTCTAAATTCTCACTCTTATCTATATGCTTAGTTACCGCATATGAAATTGTTATTTTTTTTAATGATAGTGTAATGAACACGACTGTTCTATACATACATTATAAGATGACAAAACCAGATATCCTTAAAATATTCTCCTCATTTCTTTTGTTCTGCTTTGTAGTCTAGAATAGAGATGGCACTTTAACTTTCTGTTAAAGTATAATATATAAATTTTAAAGTATAAAGTTGAAGCATGCTATTGTAACTTTAACTATGTTATCAAAATATTATTAAAGTTAAATTATCACCTCTAGTTTAGAACAGCTAATCACCTATCTTGACATTTGTTTTTCTTTCTAGCTTTTGAATAATATGGAAATGTGTTACTACATTGCTGGTCAAATTATAATTTCTTTCGAACATAACTAAAATTCGAATTCTCCTCATAGAAAACCTGATCAAAACTCGAATTCTACTGTTCTTTGGCTAAAGTTGAAATTCGAATTTGATCCACACAAATTTAGAATTGGACTAAATTACAATCTCGACAATGACATACAGTGAGTATTAAAATTCATCAGCAAGCAGCAACAACGTTTTTAGTGAGTTCATATTTCGACAATCATATCAACTATTCCACGGTTATTGGCCAAACCATTAGAGGATGTGATTTCCGATATTTCCAAAATTGATAAACAATTTATTTTTAAGATTATTTACGCGATAACTCTGACTTTAAGTTATCTTTAGAGCATATAGTTGGAAAGAGCAAATTTTTCTCTACATGTTGAACTAAATCATATTGAAGCATCTGTTTTAAAAGAGACCGATCAGGGATAGTTTTGGGAGCATACTGTAAAAACTTGATTGTATTCTCCTATTGACGTAGGTAAGATAATGTCTGAAATGTATTTAGAAGTTGCGTGGCTGTAGGAAAGCCTATTTTTTACAAACAGGATATGTTTCAAATCAAGAGCATCTCTGTTCTCATGAGCATGATATGGTTGTTCAAGTGGCAAATTCAAAATCTAAAAGGTGAATGATGCCAACAGGAACGGATGAGCCTTGAATTTTTCAAAACTAACTTCCTACGATAACAAGAGTTAATCATATAGAGTTTGTTTACGTTCTTTCGAATGTGATACCGCAGAAATAAAAAATCAGTTGAACACTAAATATAATATATTTCAATTTATCAAGCTTTTACAATATGCTCCAGAAACTACCTCTGATCGATCTCTTTTAAAACAGATGCTTCAATGAAATTGAGTTCAACGTGTAGAGAAAAATTGTTCTTTCCAATGACATGCTATAAAGATAATTTAAAATCAAAGTTATTGTGACAATTCTAAATAGGAGAGTAGTTGGTGTTGATGAAGATACACTCTACTATATTCTTCTATATCATATAATCGTTCATACACACATTATGGCACGGTTCTCTATTTATATGTCAGTACGAGGACACATAAGAGAGGTGCAAAGGAAAGGATAGAACAGAGAGAGAGAGCGCAACACAGTGAGGATAGAGAGCACAATAAGGTAAGGATAGAAATGGAAGGTCAAGGAGGTAAGGACAGTGCATATATAATGAACAGAGATGACAAGGTATAGTGTGGAAAGAAATGACAATGGAAGGTGAACGTTTTATTCACCCAAGGAGTGAAGGTAAAGAGTATTACATCATCGACTCAACCGAGGGATGTTACAGTTATCACGTAAATAATCTTAAAAATAAATTGTTTATCAATTTTGGAAAAGTCGGAAATCATATTCTCTGATGGTTTGATCAATAACTGCAGAACAAAAGAATGATTTGACTTGAAACTTTATATATACTAGATAATATGAACTACAATATGGATGAAGTGGAACTGTTATATCTGATATGATTGTTGAAAAATGAACTCACTAAAAACGTTTATTCTGTTTGTTGATTAATTTCGATACATACTGCATATTATATAAACCAATTTCATATGTTTCTTTCTTTTTCTCTCATAGAAGCAATGATACCTGAGAATACCTCAACTACAGTAGATTTTCAATCATGGTTTATTCCTATTGATATGTTAAACATGATATGTAGTGTCATTGCTATTATACTTGCACTAGTCTTTTTACTTGTTCTTATTCTTGATAAACTATATCATAGCGTTGCAATGATACTTGTTGTAAATTCTTGCTTAGCTGAATTTATATTTGGATTTTATTTGTTTGCAATAACTATATTTACATTTCGCAATGATCTTAAACAAATTTACTTCTATGATGTATTTTGTCTTTTAATGGGTTATATAGGTTATGTGGCAGTTGCAATACAAAATTATTCTTATTTATTACAAGCAATCTATCGATATATTTTGATTGTTTATCCATCTCGATTATTCTATCAATCAGTTAAATTTCAAACTTTTCTTATTGCCTTAATATGGATATGTTGTATTATCTATCCTATTCCATTAGTGTTTACTAGTCAAATAAAATATCTCGTTAATGATCAAATATGTCAAATACCTCTTCAACTTTCATTTCTAACAATATTCTGTGCATTTTATTTTTATCTATTTCCTATTCTAAGTATTGTATTAATCTATGTAAAAATGGTTCGATATGTACACGAGATGAGTAAACACGTAACTCCAGTTAATAGATTATTTCATGCTCAACGAGAACTAAGAATGATTCGACGTGTAGTTTCACTTATATTTATTTTAGTTACACTTGGTTTTCCTTACGCAATCTTCGTTTTTATGTCATTTTTTAATAGAACACCAAAATATCAGTTTCGCATTGCTTTTACGTTTATCAATTTATCATTGGTATTTGTATTGATTGCTCTTTTAGGAATTACAGAACCACTGAAAACTTCATTAATGAAAAGAATAAATGGTCGACCAACAAACGTTGTACAAACATTTACATAAATAATGAAAACCAATAGCAAATTTCTGACAAAATATAAAAAAGCATTTTTCATGTTGTGTTTTTATTGTTTGAACTGAAATAAAAGACAAGAATATGGAATTGTATTACAATTTAAACTACGAGTCTTGCTTTATTTTTGAAATATTCAACTAGATCTAAAGATCAAAGATAAATAATAGATTGAGTTATGAATAGGATTTTTTTATTTTTTGAATTAATATAATAATAATAATAATAAGGAAAAAGCAATTCAGTTTTAGATAGATCTGTTTTTCTATTTCTATTTCTATAGATAATTAATAAAATGAACATGTCAACATTTATCTTAGACTCATTTAGAACTTTTCAAAGAATTACTCAATTTTACAAGAGACAG